ATCGTAATACTACACACATACACTACTAAGTTCAAGCGTTTGTCTTGCAAAGTTGTTGCAAAGAAAATGCATTTTTATTCGAAAACTTCGAAATTCGAAAAATTACTTTTGTGTGCACATAGTGGTAAATATAATGCGAGAGAGCGCAAGCGCCTTTTTAATTGAGAGAGTAGCTGCAGCTGAGCGTATGAGAAAGTGGTTTCAAAATACGGGGCTGTTTTCTTAAAACTTATGGGAAATTTTATATATGAAAAAAAAAGTAGAATTATAAATGAAGATGGTGATAAAAAAAAAATATTAAAAATAAGAATAATAATAATAATTATAAAAATAATATTTTTCTTTGTTTTTTTTAGACTGTAAGGAGGATTTAAAATGCCTTCGCAGCATAAAAAAAAAAATAATAATATTAATAATAATACTAATAATACTAATAATAATAAAAATAATACTAATAGTTATAATCATAATAATAATAATTTTAATTATCAAAATAAAAATAAAATTATTTAAAAAAGTAATCAAAGTTCAATAATTATTGAAAAATTTTAATAAATTGTATATATATTGGATAATAACGGAACATCAAACTCTGAAAAAACCAAACAAATATTAGTACTGAAGAAGTTTAGATATAAATAAAAGATATTGTATATTAAATAGAAAATAATAACGGAACATCTGATCAACCTAGCATAGCCAAATGTTTTTATGGAAATAGTTCAGAGACCTTTATCGGCGCAGGTTTCAGACACATTTTTTTTACAAAATGCTGAAAATTATACTCGAATTTTGTTTATTATGAAAATTAAAATAAAAAATCAGAAGTCTTATTTTGTTTCCCGATTTAAGGGGTTATATCCACTTGCAAGTCAGAAAAAATCTTTCCTTTGAGATTTCGAGAGAATCGGTGATTAAGTTTGAAAACCTATAGTCAATTTCCAAGACCTCCGATCAAAGTTGTCTGGGGTGAGCACGATTTTTTGAAAGTTACAAGTGGATATAACCTCTTGATAGAAAGATTTTGATAATTTGTCGAAAATTAAAAATTTACTTTCTCTACTCTTCTACTCCTGCTGACCAACGATTGACTTAAGAGCGTGTATAACTAATATGACTCAGTAATTGATTGTTGTTTGATTAATTTGTCAAATTAAGCGACCACCATTTCGAGCAAATAATGCTGATACTGACAGTTGTAAATGATTGGAAGTTTCAGTTGACATTCGTAAGCGTTTCCAATCAAAAGCAATAAGCGCAACAAAAACGAACAACAACAAGAGGAAACAGTATTAAATTAACTTCTTTAAATTTATACACTCACAAACCGCGCTTCGTTAATTTGCTACAACGCCAACAACAACAAAAGCGAATAACATAAAATCAATAAGTTTCCAAAGCAAAGCTAGAACAACAACAAACAACATGTAACATCTAGCAATTACAGCAATTAATGCCAATAGCAACAACAACAAATCATGTAGTGCTTGTAGTAAGCACCCGCCCACACAACCAAACAAACGGTACATTAAACTTAACAAAACAATTATTGCATGTACAACAGCCACAACAACAACAACAAAACATCTACAAAATAAGAATCAGACACAAAAAAGAAGCGAAAATCCGCAAGTGTGCATACATTTGTTGTATTAGCAGTAGTGTTAGCTTTGCTGTTGTTGTGGCACATAGCGCAACATGCGGCTGCATCGAATTTCAATTGGAGCAACAACCTGATTGCCTGTTTAAACATTTAAGCGGTTTAATTGTGGCAATTCAATTAAGTGCCACGAAAATGGTGCAACAAGCAGAACTGTGAGAAATAGCAATAGAAAGCAAACATATAACGGTATAAGCGATATGTGCGTGGGTGTCTGAAATATAGTGTTGGGAAGCAATTAAGCCCTTTTACCGATAAAAAAATATTGCAGTATGTGGCAGTTATAGCAATTAACGAAATTCTTTCGTACTAAAAATTTTTTGGTTTTGAAAATTTTTGAGCTATTTTCCAAATTTGCTGAAGAAAAGTTTATCTAATGATTTTGAAAGCATTTCTTTAGTATTTTTTATTTATAAATATGATAATTTTTGAAATTTTTCTTTGCCGACTTTTTAAAACCTGTAACATAATAGCAACAATTTATTATAATCTTAAAAGTTTTCAGATTTCATGTGGCTTATACTGCATTCTGCCTGTTAGTACCTAAACTCAGACTAAAATTATGGCATAGTTTTATAGAGACCGACCATAAAGCTTAAGCAGCGCTGGGTCCAATCTGTCAGTCGCCTAAAGGTATGCTTCGAATACTGTTTTAGGCAATAGAATAAATCGATTTTTTTTACATATATGTATGTATAAACGTATCTGTAAAAAGTTTTTAACTCAGAGTAAGCGGCTCCTAAAACTATAAACGCGTTTTTCTCGAAACGCTGTTTTCAGAGTCGCTTCTTCGAAACGACTAGATCGATTGACTTAAAAATTTTACACGACTTTCTTAAATAGTTTTGTTATTCTGAAGTATTTCACAAGTATTTTTAAATAATCGGTCAACATTGCCTAGCTACTGTTTTTGTTGCCGTTGTTCTCAAAGCGATATCTTTGTAATTATTTGCTGTTATCTTATTTGGAATGAAAGTTTTGCATTTGCAGTTTTTTTATAGAAAACTTTAAACTCTTTCTGTTGCAAACTTTTAGGCTGAAAATATAAATATAAATTATTTTTAGAGTATTTTATTCAAGGTGTGGAACAGCATATTTTAATATTTAGTTTAATACATAAAATATACTTTCGCTGCTTAAACAAAAGAAATACAGAAAGAAATATATATACCTATGTCAATTAAAAATCTGACAAATCCGAAAATAAAATAAAATATTGACTTTAGTAGCATTGTCAAGTTGCAATCCAGTGTCGGTAGGATAATTACACCTATAACTGTCGCTGTCGCGCATAAATTGCCTGCCATTACAACGAACAACGGTAATTGTTGTTAGAGGCGGCAGTGCCACTCCGCTAATTCAAACGGCTACAAAACTTGCCACGTGGAGCAGCCTAAGTATTTACGACAACTTTTTCTACATATTTTTTATTTTATTCTGCTTTATCACTTTGCTGGCGCGTTAACTTTTTTTCTCCATTGTCATGTATTTATGCTCCTAAAATAATTTTTTTATCGTTGAACTTACTTAGCGATTTATACGAGACACAAATGCCATTCATTCATACATATACTGTATATGTATATATATAGTATATGACAGTATACATATTTATGAGTAATTTCTGTATCCACACTATTTCCATGTCCTTGTACCCAGTTTATGTATCAGAAATTCATATTCATCTAATATGTAAGTATGCTTGTGCGGCTTGTGTAAATTTGTCTATTTTATTGTTTAATATTTCAGTCCCTTTTAGTATTATTTTCGTGGTTGGCAAGCAGTTAGTTGGTTATAAAAAAAGTTTTGAATTTTATTTGTCTCCGTAAAGTTTTCTTTAATTAGCATTTAGCTTGTCAACCGAAGGGGAGAAAGGGTTGGTGAACATATGCAAGTAGTTATATGCTTTTTATTGCTTCAGAAATTATCAGCGTTGTAATGCTTTGTCTCGCGGATATCTGAGTTGAGTTGAAAAATGAGAGTTAAAATATTAAAAAGAAAATCTTAAGAATACTTAAAGTATAATGAGTAATATATTGTCAGCTTAGGTTAAGATTTCCTGATAGACCTAGAGCCTTGATAGACTGTTATGCGGTTGAGATGAAATATCATATAACTACGTAAAATTTTAATAATCGTCTTATCTTGAGAGACAAAGGCTTCGAGTATTTTTTGGCAGGAGTATGCTTCCGATAGTAATTCCTTACTCTAAGCTATTTCTGCTGGCTAGTGGATCTCCCAATTTGGTTTAATTATTAATTAGAAAAAATTGTTCAACTTTTGAACTATTCAAAATAAAACAAATATGCTAAACAAAAAAAACTTGGTTGCACTGAAGATAACGGCTATACCACTTGAATTCAACTTGATAACTTTGTTGTTACTTTTACATTTAATTTTTTTGACAAGAGAAGAGAAGCGAGCGGGAAATGACGAAATGAAGACATTTTATATAAAATTATAACATAAATTGCTCCATCGATTTAATTTTTTTTAATGGGTGCAGAATTTCGAAAAGACAAGTCAGACAATGAATTATGTTTAATATAGAATTATGAGACATTCCCAAAAAGTAGTCATAAACCCCACCTACCCACAATACGCAAGCGACCTGGCATCGTAAACCGAAAAAGAAATAAAATGGCATCCAAAGAGATGAAACCACTGCGTATCCAAGGCTTATCTATAAATAGATAATACAGCTGTTGCAACTATCTTATACCCACTATCTTTTCAAGAATTAAGGAAACATAGGTAATAGGAGTTCCTCTATGGAATTATCGTAAAACCCAGTATCGCTTGAAGAATTGGAGAAACGTTCTTAAAAAAAAACCTGACACTTGTCAAATCATAACACGAAATTCCCGCTCCAGGTTAATGTTACTCGTCTAGAATGTTATATATAAGGTGAGCTTTTCTGGCTTATGGTTATGGTATATGTGTGTCATATGAGCCTGCCTTGAGAGCTTCTTTAAATGCAACTTAGATGCAATACACTTTAAAATTTCCTACAGTTCAACAACCCTTTCGATAAACAGTTACTAAGATAATATTTAATAAAAAGAACAACAACAGCAATTACGTATAAAAAAATTACCCAAAACAGGCAACAGGCTGTTGCGCTCCCCAGCAAACGGAGACAAGTGCGAAGGCATAGCGAGTAGTAATAGCGCAGATAACAAATACTCTCGCATGGGCGCTCTTTTGTCGTGAGCTAAGAGAATTTCCCACTATTGCCTACGCTAAATATACCGTTAGGAGCATTGGAGCGCATTTACCGTTAAGAATGTATGTGTATGCTTTTGCGATTGGACTGTGCGCTGGGATATTCCTCAGCACTTTGCCAGGTTGACAGGCCGGAACTGCTCTGGCTGGCTGGCTGCTGCTGTTGCTGGGACTTGGCGTGGCTGCTGAAAATTCAGAATTCAGTATGAAACGACAAAGCGCCGTATGCGCACGGTGAACGAATCGAGAGCGGACAAAGTTTGTGACGTTTATGTGGAAACCAAATTGGAAGAAGAAGCAGCAGCTGATTTGTAGCAGAATCAGTAAAGAAGAATTGTGGGCCAAACGACATAAGTGAAAATAAATATTTGGCGCAAACGAATTGAATCAAGCGAAAATTTATTTAAAAATATTAAAATAAAAAAATAATAAATTAAGGTGTTGAACAGCCAATTCGTTGAAAATTATTGTGCGTTTAAAGAAAACGTAGAAATAAAGCTGGCGTGCGTTGATGAACGCCCTTACTTGGGCAATCGAAGTGAAGATCTGACGGGAAATAAGCGACAATTTGTCAGTATTCGCAACGTTTACCGAAACAAGTGAGAGTGGAGATTTTATTTCTGGCAAATAAGGGACAAGCACGCACCGAGACTGCAGATTCGACAGCGTCTTCTGATGAGTGAGAATTTCGAACGGCCAAAAATAAACGGTATTACGCGTAAATTACAACAACATTAAAGCAAAACAAGCAATAAATCAAACGCACAAGGCAAAACCCCACGACGAAGGCGCTAAATACATACACACATACATACATATATATTTACACCGATACAAGCGCAGAGGAAAAATTATCTGTTGAATGCGTGAGTAGCTATTTTCGCCGGTAAAATTAACGTTAAACGTGTGCTAATAGTGCGTGCGTACATTGTAGTTGAGGGTCAAGTGTGTGTAGTGGAAATTAGTGAAAGTTCGAAAATTAAAATCGTTGAAAAAATATTACAATAATAAAAGTTGAGTAGAATACCGCAGAGCAAATAAAATATTTAATTAGAAAATACTTACAGATCCATCACTAACCACAAAACAAAAACAAAAACAACAAAATGACAGCCAATATCTATAAAATGCTCTTGCTGCTATTTGCAATTGTCTGTCTCTGCAGCGCCATGCCCTCCCCCGAACCGCAACCGCAACCGGAACCGGCACTCTTGAGCAGCTACAAGCCCTCCTTCATATTGAATCCATCCATCTACACCTATACAGTGGCGGAGAATCAGGCACAAAAGCAACAACAACAACAACAAAAACAGCAGCAGCAACAAGCGCAGGTCAAACAACAACAGGAGTACACAAAAACTTTGCTGAGCAATGATATTGACTACAACACCAATAGCAATAACAATGGCAATAGCAATAGCAACAGCAACAACAATAATTACTTCAATTATGCCAGCAACAGTAATAATGAACAATTTAGCAGCAGCAGCAGCAGCTCGAGTGACTCTGCTTCGTCAGCTTATCAGAATCACTATTACACCAGTAGTAAATTAAATGGCGCTTCGATGGCTACACCAACAACCACAACTACCGCAACACCCACTCAACCGTTGCCGGTGAGCGGTTGTCAATTGGATCGCCTAGCTGTTTATAAGGTCGTCTTGCACACATATTGGACGCGTGATCTATTCCCCAAACACTATCCGGATTGGAGGCCAACCGCGCAATGGACGAAAACTTTAGGTGAGTGATACTGTAAGAAAGTGAAAGATAATATGAAAAAGTGAACAATGTAACTAGATAAAGTTGAAGAAAATTTACCATAAATAAGGCAAGAATTTTTGGTATAATTTCGTTCGTTGCGAGTTATAATTCTCAACAGGTTTATAATTTTTTATGAGGATAATTGATTTTTAGAAATTAACTATTATATTGAAAATATTTAAAAGCCATGAATCTATCAAAAATTTCGTTCGCTGGAAGTTGTAATTCTCAACAGGTTTACATATTATTTTTACCGAAAAATTTATTTACTAAAAAGCAATTATTATATTTATAATTGATTGTGCATGAAAATTATTCGGAAAAAATCAAGTTCGTAGATCAGATGATTATTTGTGATCAGAGGTATGAAATATTTAAAGTTTCAGCTCAATTGAAACACATCTGATGATTTCTTTGTGTTACAACCTCTTCTAAGCTAGGATTTATTCTATATGCAAGCAGTTTTGAAATATACAATACAGTTGTAAATGGCGTTTCTCTAACTGTTGCTCACATATTGGCTTATTTTCAGTATATTTTTGAAAAACCCAATTTTTAGTAATTTTACATATATTTAATTCACTTATTTTAAAGAATTGTTAAATTTTGAATAATTTTTGTCGGTTCGCAATTCATATATGCTATATTAGTCCAATCCGGATCAATGTGTTCGGCGAATGTTACAGTGTCTTGGAATATAACTCATGCCAAATTTCGTGAAGATATCTTGTCAAATAAAAATTTTTCCATAAAAGAATTTGATTTTGATCGTTCAGCTTGTATGGCAGCTATATGCTATAGTACCCCGATATTGGCGACTCGGACAAATGAGCAGTTTCATGAGGAGAGAAAGACGTGCGAAAAATTTCAGATCGACATCTCAAAAACTAAGGGACTAGTAGCTGAATAGACTCAGCTCGTCACGCGGATCATTTATACAATATATACATATCAGTTGTATATACGGTTTAAAGAAGCGTACACAATTTTTCGGAAGAACCAGACTCGAGCTCTTCGATAAGACCTAATCTAATCGGACTCTTTCGGTATTTTGAAAACCACTTTGTTTGCGTGACCACAAAATAATTTAGCCTTTTTATCTTTCTATAAGTTATTTCCAATGATTTCTAGCACGAGATGTTTGAAAGACAATGTAATTCATTTTATATTCTCGTGTTTATTGTTTCTCTTTGTTGATATTTTGAGCAATTTCTGCTATAAAACCACTTTTTAAAACTTTTACCCTAACTAAAGAATTTTTATAAATAGTTTAGGTATATATTATATATGTATGTATGAGTGGCGAAATTGGAGATTTAACACATTTCTGAAAGCGTATACTACATCTCTCCACTACTCTAATTTTCTATTCTCTCTTTTACGTAATATGACTTACGCAAACCGAGATTCACCCATAACCCCTTTCGGACCCATAAACACGACAATTGAAATGTTATTGCCAGTCATTTTAAGATTATTTCATATTTTTAAACCAATAAAAGACATTTGAGAGCGAAATAAAAAGTAGAACAACAGAGCACAATATAAAAACGAAAATTTCAAATGCCCAACACGAAGCGCAAAGGAAACTTGAAAACGGCAAAAAACAGGAAAAAGCTAAAACCGAAAATATATTTAGGGCAAAAAGCTGGCAGAAATGTGAAAACAAGTGAAAGATATGGAATTGAAAGCAAACGACATGCCAAACGAAGAGGTTGACGAGGTGTGTGCCGAGGCACAATTGCAGGATACACGGACGGACACTTGAAATAACAATGTGCCATTTATTTACAGAAACACGCAGCGATGCATTGCAACAGTGACGGCAAAAAAAAAAAAACGCAGTGACAAACGGACAAAGACAAAAATGGGGAAATGGCGAAAATAAACAAAACAAAGGGACAAATGGTGAATGGCAAGAACTAGAATATATTGTATATGTGTGGCACATAAAGCAAAAATATAAAACTGGCAGCCAGCAACAAAAGTTTGCAGAATGCACTCGTGTGGATTGTGGGCGGAGGCGTAGAGAGATATAAAACTAGTTTGCTGTAAAAGATGAAATGTTTGTAGATTTGGTGTGGTGGTGTGCAGCAGCGGCACATAAAGCCGATGTAAGTCTTTGGAAATTGTGTTAGAGCCGCACGGGCGCGAGTCTAAGTGTGGTTAAGTCTGTGTGTGTAGTTGTGTTTGTTGGCTCTAGCCGAAGCTTTGCGCTGACGGAGTTGCAATGCAAGGAAGTGCAATATTTTTGAGCGTTTGTCAGAGTGACAAGGCAACAAAAACGAATACGGGGATACAACAAGAAATGAAGAGAAAAGCACAAAATGACAAAAGTAACAATGACAAAGGAAACAACATTCGACATTTACAACGAAATTGCAATTTCAGTCAACGCAAGCTGCAAGCAATTTCATTGGGTTCATTGCTTTTACGGGCGTTTTTGTTATTGCTGTTATTATGTTGTTGTGGTGAGATGCTTTTGTCGCTGCAAGAATTTATGACAAACGACGCACGGAAACACAAGCAGCGTTAGTGCCCCCAGCGCATGCAGTTGACGCAGCGCAGCGCACAGATCGCAACACAAAAATACGAACAAACAAAAAAAAAAACACAAAACACAAGAAAGAACTTTAACTTCTGTTGCATCGAAGCTATAATACCCTTCACAAATACAAAAATACCTAAAAAACTTGATTCTGAACGATCGGTTTGTATGGCTGCTATACAAGTATGCTATAGTGGGCCGATCAAAACGTATTCTAGGGAAGTTGTATCATTGCTTTAGATAGTAATCTGTGTTAAATATGGTGAAGATATTTCAACAAAAAAAAAAAGTTTTCCATACAAGCACTTGTTTGCGATTGCTCAGTTTATATGGCAACTATATGCTATAGTGATCAGATATTGACCGTTCCGACAAATGAGCAACTTCTCAGAGAAAAAAGAAGGTATACAAAATTTGAGATCAAGTGCTAGTGCTGCTAGCAGTTTATACATGTATATACTTTATAGGGTCTCTGACCTTTCCTTCTGGGTGTTACAAACTTCTTGACGGCTTAATATACCCTGTTGAGGGTATAAAAATATAAAGCATGCATGCTGCCACAGTGTGCAACATTAAGTTGAAAACAAAGGATATTTGCAGCAATTGCAAAAAATTATAGTCAATCTAAAACAACAACAACAATAGAAATAAAAAAGTTCTTCCGCTGCAAACTACACGCTGTCAGCAGCAATAAATAGCAGCGTGCTGAGTCAGTGCGCACGCAGTTTTTTCAGTCACTAAATTTCTTAAAATGTTGTTGTTGTTATTGCGTGGAATTTTACGTCTTTTTGCAGCACTAGTATCGAATTTATTATTTTCATTTCTCTGGCTTATTTCTGCCATTGTTTTGCTGACTTTGTGTTGCTTTTGTTTTATTATTTTCATTTTGACGAATTTCTTTTGGCGTTTGCTTTGCGAAAATTGTCAGGAAATCACATTGAAAAATTGCAAAGAAATTTCACTTAATATTTTTGTAGTGAATCGTTAAGGGCTTTTGGGGATTTAGATAGAAATGCCGTGACTTACAGTGAAATATTGCGCGCTGGTGATAGCGCTTTATAACTGTATATATGTATTTGATGGCGCGCTGAAGTTTTGCCAAAATTGTTATGGACTTAGCGCGTGAGAGTGTGTTAGACAGAGAGGGAGAGCGGGCGCGCGTAAACAGGAAATCAGCTGGAATACGTGCAACGGATGTTGGGAAAACGCTTTAACGGCTAGCCCCGCGGCTGTTTATAATAAAATAGAGAATATTAAAACGAGAAACTACAGTAGTCGATGTATTTAGCAAATTATTATTATTTTTTGCTTTAAAAAATGTGTGAAAATTTGAGAAATCAAACAAAAAGTCATTATGACACTAAAACACAATTTATTATTATTGTTTTAGCTTTTATTTTGAAAAGGACTGCGAAAAACATTTGTTATGAAAATTTTAGCTAAAGATGATTTTCGTTATCTAATATTTTAATAAAATTATACTTAATTGTTCTTATTATTAATATTGTTTATTTTTATATCAAAAGTAAATAGAAGTTTAAGCAGCGAAAAATATTAAAACTATTCTACATTTTTCGAATAATATTTCTAAAAGTAGTTTTCGAAGCAAGTTTTTTAAAATAGTTAGTGGTCGGATTTTACTACATCAAAATTTCGTCGAATTAGTGAAATATATATCTTATGATATATAATAAACAGACCAGGGCTAAAGTCGTTGAAAATGTTGAAAAGTGACATAAGTAAGAAAATAGTAAAAAGTGAAGAAAAACCAAGTAGAATGAAACCCGTTGAAAAGGAAACGAAAATAGCAGAAACTATTAACGCGCGATATGCTGTCTGGAAGTGGAAGGTAGGTAGGTATTTGAGTGTTTCAGGATAAAAAACGGCTTATATCGATTTCGGGAAGAACTACGACTCTTTTGGATAAAAATCAAATGGCAAAGTTGTAGCTAATGAACAATTTTCTACAATTTTTGTATCAACACTTTTTTCACATAACCTCAAAATTTATGCCAAAAATGCAAATAATTAAGTTTATGGTTTTTTATTTCTGTCTTTTACAAAATCTATTTTCTTTCACGAAATTCGGCGTAAACTGATCTTTTTATGATTCAAATATATTTTAATTTATTTGTTTTAAAATTTTTATTTTGCCCGTTATTTTAACTTAATATCGAAAATTAATGTTAATTTTAAATCGAAAATTCTTACATCAATAGTCACTTACTTATTTAAACAAATTTGCGAGATTTTTCTTTGTTAAAATCTTTACTTTTTGATCGTAGAAATATAGGTATATACATTACTATGATAATTTTTCTCACAAAATGCAAAAAAGTCTCCTCTAAACGATTGAAATTTGCTTTTTTTTACAACTTCTACTACGAAATAACATATAGAGGTTCAAAATAGCCTACTTAGAGATTTAAAA